ATTACTGTATCCCTAATGCCTTACCTAGTATCTGGCACTTTCATGGATTTTCAATAAAAAATTTAGAATGAATGAATGAAGTGGTATTGGAGTTGAATCCCATAGGATGGTGAGGATTTAGACATTTGGTGAAAGGGGAGGGCGAAACATTATTCTAGGTGGAGGAACATATTCTCATTCTAGAAATGGAAAACAAAAGATGGATGTGGAGAACAGGTTTAAGAAAGAGCTTATGAGATACTATGAAGGATTAGATATGAAGAATAAAAGAGAGAAAAGGCAAATGATGATTCCAGTTTGTGCCTTGGAAGCCTGATAGAATGGATACTAGGAGAATGACAGAAGAAAGGAGGTTTGGAATACAAGCCAGTTTACTGGGGAGTGGTTTACAATGTCAGGGGCCATATCTTGTGAGTATTTGCAGAGACTGGGTTGAAGTACACAATCAGGTCTGAACAAGATAAATTTGAGACTCATCTGTGTATAGATGAGAACAGATGGTTGTAACTGGGACCTAGGATGGGTTCTAAGAGGGAGAAAGTACAGAAAAGGAAGAGCCCTGGGAAAGCGCCCATAACCTTGGGAACTGGACAAGAAGGATCCACAAGAGGGGTGGGGAGGGCCAGGATAATGCAGTGATGTGGAAGCCCAGAGAAGGAGCATTTCACGAGGGGCAGTCTTCTGTGTCAGCTGCCACAGAGGTCCAAGCACATGGAGCTTAGAGGTCTTTAGGCTTGCCAGATGGAGGGCAGTGTCACCCTCAAAGGAAGAATTTCTGTAGGATGGTGGCAAAAAAACATTGCCCAGTGTTGGGGATGGAATGGTGGGCCTAAAGAGGGAGAGAAAAATTGGATGGTTGCTAGATGGAAAGAGAAAGTTTAAAAACTGTTATTACTTTTTTCTGATTTTTTTCAGTTAAGAAAATGAAATGCTCAATATAGAAAGTTTCAAAAATATGGAAATCTAAAAAGAAGGGAAAAAGTCACTTATATCTTCAAGAGAGAAACGTTGCTGATTTTTGGTGTACTTCTTCTCATAATCTTTTCTGCATATATACCCACATATATATTTAAATAATTTTTTTTGTTATTGTTGAAAATATACACAGCAAAACATACACCAATACAACAGTTTCTACATGTACAATTCAGTGACATTGATTACATTCTTCGAGTTGTGCAACCATTCTCACCCTCCATTTCTGAATTGTTCCTCTCCATTGACATAAATTCACTGCTCCCTAAGATTCGTATCTAATCTTTCTGTTGCTGTTGTCAATTTGATCCCATATAAACCCAAACCCGTTGTCCATCGAGTCATTTTCTGACTCATAGTGACCCTATGGGACAGAGTACAACTGCCCCATAGAGTTTCCAAGGAGCAGCTGGTGGATTCACACTGCCCACCTTTTGGTTAGTAGCCGAGCTCTTAACCACTACACCACCAGGGCATATAGATAGATCTTAAAAGAGCATACTGCTCAAGGCAGACATTGTTTACTATGTAAGTTGAATTATGGTTTTAAGAAGACTTCAGGGGATGTTTTTGGTTTAAGGTTTAATCTACTTATGTATATTTTGAGTATAGTTGGTATCATGCTCTAAGCACAGTATGGCACCGTGCTTTTCCACAGGAGTTTTCCATATGATTGCAGATGCTTCCTAAACACACATTTTAGAGACCATATAGTAGCCACCAAAGAGCGTTTTCATAACATACTCCCCTATTATTAGAAATTTGCCTTTCTCTACTTTTTATTATTATAAATAATGGTGTTGTGAACATCTTTGTGAAGAAAGTTTATTTTTTCTATTTTAGATTCTTTCCTGAGATTGGAGTTAAAACTTATTATTTTATTTATCGTACTTTAGATGAAGGTTTACAGAACAAACTAGCTTCTCATTAGACATTTAGTATAGTACTGTTTCATGACATTGGTTAACAACTCCACGATCTGTCAACACTCTCCCTTCTCAGTCTTGGGTTCCCTATTACCAGCTTTCCTGTCCCCTCCTGCCTTCTGGTCCTTGTCCCTGGGCTGGTATGCCCCTTTAATCTCGTTTTGTTTATGGGCCTGTCTAATCTTTGGCTGAAGGGTGAACCTCAGGAGTGACTTCATTACTGAGCTAAAAGGGTGTCTGGGGGCAAAGCTTATTATTACTTATTAAAAATAGCATTTGTTGTTTTTCTAATTGCGAAAGTATCACATTTTCATTGTAGAAAATTTGAAAAAGAGAAGAGAATCTCAAAACAGGAAGTAGACATCACTTACAGAGGACAGGGGTGGTTCAGGGGCAGAATTCTTGCTTTCCATGTGGTAGACCTGGATTCGCTTCCCCGCCAAAGCACTTCATGCCCAGCGACTACTCATACCTCAGTGGAGGCTCTTGTGTTGCTATGATGCTGAGCAGGTTTCAGCGGAGCTTCCAGACCAACACAGACTAAGAAGAAAGGCCTGGCAACGTAGTTCTGAAACCAGCCAATGAAAACTATGGATCACAACGATTCAATCCACAACTGATCATCACGTGGCACAGGACTGGGCAGCGTTTTGTTCTGTTGTGCTTGGGGCCCCGTGAGTGAGGGCTGCCTCAACAGCAGTGACGATGACAAGAGTTGCCTTACCTGGAGGGAACTACTGTTATCCTTTGGTCTCACGCTCTCTGCCTGTTTATCCATCTATTAATCATTAAATCATACATTACCCACCATTTTACAATCATTTAAAACTCAATATCTAATAAATCCTTCATTATTCAATTCAATAATATTCTACCTCATAATTTCTAATGGTTTTTTTAACACCCCGTGGTGTTTAGTAACCATAATTTAGTTAACCATTTCTGTAATAATGGACATTTAGTTTATTTGTTGTTTTTGCTATTTATGCTATGACTGATATCTTTGTAGATGAATCTTTGTACGTATACCTGATTATTTCCTTATATAAGCAGTGTCCGACTTACGATGGGGTTCTGTTCTGATGACTGTGACGTAAGTTGGTTCCGATGTAAGTCGATTAACTTTTTTTTTTTAATTATTGCCTTTTATTATCAGTATCTTTATAAATCCGATCTTAGTTGTCTTTAGGGGTTGGCATGAGAACGATAACATCAGCAAATTTTGCACTGCAACACTTTGTAGTACATATTACTAACAATAATGTTAAAAAAGAGTCGTAGGTGGGTTTGTCGTAACTTGGGTACCTGGTAAGTTGGGTACTATCTGTAATACCATCTGAGACGTATTTTGAATATCTTTGCTGTATATTATGGAATTGCTTTCTAGGAAGGTTGTATTAATTTATACTCCTCTGAGCTGTATTTGAGAGTTCCTGTATCCCACACTGTCAATCTCACTATGCGCTTATTAAACCACTAATTTTATTATTAAAAATACTATTTGAATTTGCATTTCCTTGAATTCCAGTGAGAATCTCACATGTTTATTGCACTGGAAAGATTCTTCCGTGAATTTATCGTTCATGTTCTTGGTCATTTTTATGGTCCTTGATACATATTGCCAAATTGCTTGCCAAAAGGACTGATTAGTTTATGCTCTAGTATGTTTTGTCTGTTTTGTGAATTTTCTCATGTCTCTTGCTTATTTAATAGCATTTTTTTTAGATAGGGATATTCATTCACGAGGAACCCTGGTGGTGCAATGGTTATGCGCTCAGCTGCTAACTGAAAAGTCAGTGATTGGAATCCACCAGCAGTTCCGTGGGAGAAAAGCCCTGATGATCTGCTCTCGTAAAGATTATAGCCTAGCAAACCCTATGGAGGCAGTTCTACTCTGTCCAATAGGGTTGCTATAGGGTCCTATGAGTAGAAATTGACTCGACAACAACAACATTCATTTCTGTTTGAAGATAGAAAGAAAAGAGCAGAAAATGTTGGCGAGAAGGGGAATATATGAGGGTTCTAGGTTCTGGAAAAGGTGACAGTTGAAGTGGAAGGAAATTGAGCCTTGAAGGCTGAGTGCAATGCGAGATGGGATGTTGTGTTGTTTTTGTCTTTAGTGATCACTATTTTATTGCTTTTCTGGATCATTACTAAGCTCAGAGAACATCATCCTTCAATCATCGTCTTTTAAGAAAACAAACATCACTAAGATTGTTTTTGTTTCTGGTCAATGTCCCCAAGGCTGGATGGAGAATGAAGGAAATAAAAAAAAAAAATCAACAGAAGAAATTGATCACCAGGTTATTTTATTATCAGTTTTAATACAGTGCCCTCAGAAAACCACATGAATAAACATCCAGAAGCCTTACTGGATAGAATCGAGCATACTTTAGATTTATATTCTCTCACTCTCATAATTATTCTGATTGCTTATTTGAGCTAGAAGCTATGAAAGGGTTGTGTAATTAGTGAGATTTAATAAAAGTTTGCTGAATGAATGCATCCGTGGCATAGATTTATTAGTACCTGGAAATGAGCAAAAGAGGCATGAATTTAATGAAGTACTAGAAAATCATAATTATTTTAAGTTATGCCTGTATCTGAAGTTATTTTGAGGAATAAATTTTTGGAAAAACTTGGAGTCCTTGTAGGAAGTGTAATGAGGCAGAATAATCTGTATTTATGAATTAATAACATTTTTTATTATAAGGTAATATTGTAGAGTGTCATAACTTCCTAGTGCCACATTTTTAGAAGCCAAAGAGTCAAGTGAAGAGATTGGTGTCTGCTGAAGATATAGAAGGGATTTTTCTGTTTTTAGTGAGATTGTCTCATGAGAAAACCCATTCTGGCGCTCGGAAGTAGAATCATATAGTAAGATTTCTACTGATTGTATTTGTTTGATGTGACATTTCTTTGATGGTAGTTCCCACTGCTGAATATTATTTTCTCTTGTAGAAGTTAAAGAAGGGGATTTAAAGGATTATTAATCTGTATCTGAATGTTATGTGTGAGTGTTGAGGGTAGCTGGGAGGAAAAGATGTCTGAGGCACATTGAGATTATGAATTTCCTTCTTCTGGAATAATGATAATGATTCATTGCTTTGTGGTGCTTGCTTCCCTTTGTGGTACTGGTTCCTCTCTTTGAGGGTGACCCTGCTTGTCTTCCAGGGCCTGGGGAGCTGACGTCTGCTATGGGTCAGCAGGAGCCTCATCAGGTGAGAGTTCCCTGGTGTACTGTCGTAATGCTTGGCTGTGGTAAAAAATGGTAAGACAGTTGGAGATCTCGCTGGTGAGGGATGCCCTTGACTGGTTAGTGCTGAGCTCTGGGCCTGATGCCTGGACTAGCTGAGCTTGGTTTTGAGGCTCCTGGTGGGCTATGTCTATTTGCTGTGGAATCTTCTCCTGCAGATACATATACAGTGGGCTGGGATGGACTGAACCCTTCTCCACAGAACAGGGCTGTTGGTCCCTCTGCATTCTCTCTTCAAGGCCTAGCTGGGGGACTGAAGAATAGCCCCCTCTCTTGTTGGATGTTGCTGGTCATCACCTTCTGCCAGCTCCTGGGGATTTTCTTCCTCCTCCTTCCATGTTGCAGGTTCCTCAGGGTGTGTCTCAGGGGAGGCTGAGGTGTCCTCATCCAGACTTTTTAATGGAGTCTCCTGGGTCTCTGGTCCTCCACCTTCTTCTTCTTTGGTACCTGGGCCTTGGACCTTCAGTTTTTTCCTGCCGTCTCCCTTTGCAGGTTGTTGCATTACAGAAGGTTGGTCATCGTAGTCTGCAACCAGCGCTCCTGGGATCTCGGTCTCCACAGACTTTCCATTATCACCTCCTGCCGTGGACTGCTGTGCCTCTGGGTGTCCATTAAGCTCCACAGCTGGGCCTGGCCCTTTGGTTCCTGAGTCCTGACTCTTGTGTTCTCCTCTGGGGACTGTTCCTGTTCGTCTGTGAGCTGCTCAGCCTTTCCTCTGACTGGCAGCACCGCTGCCTCCTGAGCTCTGTATTTCTCAGCTGATGCTGCCTGCTTCGGGGCATCCAAGTCATTATTGCAGCCTCCTTGCGTAGACTCTCCCTGTGGGTCTACCTGACTCTGGGGATCCCCTTGTACAGGCAGGTCACCTGTCTCTAAGCTGCTGTCACCTTCCTCTGGAGCAAGGCTGTTGGGAGTTTTAGAGGACCCTTCATCATTCTGTGTGGTTGGTGGCGCAGGGTCTTCCCCCTGGTAGCTGTCATCCTCCTTGACTGGCTTGTCTTCAGTCTTAGTGATCCTCCTCTTTTTCCCTCCAGACTGGCTTTCAAGTGGTGCTGACTCCTGTGTTCTTTCCCTTGCTCCTGCTGTCCCTTCTGCCACAGGGGCGTTTTTGCTGCCCACAAGTACTTCTGCTGTGCCTTTCTCAGTGTATTGTATGTCTTCTCCTGGGGCTGCTGCTCCTTCAGTTTCAGGATGACTCTGATCTGTTCCTTCTGAGCCTAGATCTTGTGTCTCAGACCCTTTTGCAGCATCCCTTTCTTTTGATGGTCCCTGGAGTTTCTGATACTTCCCATCCTGCGTTTGGACTTCCAAGGCTGGTGTCTGAGTTTTTCTCTTTCCTTCCACTCTGTTGTTCCATGGGTCTCAGGGCCTCTCCCCAGTTTCCTTCCAGTCCTAACATCACGTGTTTCTGAAATACGTCTGCTATCACCTTGGACTGGTATGTCTGTTGTTTCTCGTTCTTTTTCTTGTGCTGGTGGTTCTTGGGTCTCAGATGTTCTACCATCATCACCAGGCCCAGCTGAATTCTTTGTCTCTAGGGGTGTCCTATCAGTATCACCCCTTCTAGTTCTTGGACCTCAGATACTCTACCATCCAGATTCGTTTGATTTCTCTGATTCATATGGTTTCCTGTGGGCATCTTTTCCGGGTTCTTAAGTCTCAGGTGTTCTACCGTCATCCTCAGGATCAGTTAATTTCTGCGTCTGAGATGGTTTACCTTCAGCAGCTTGTTCTGGCAGGTCAGCATGCTCTGAACTGGACTCGTTTTCTGCTTGCAGGGATGGCCTTGTATTTTAGAATGTTCTTGAACACTCTTTTCTGTTGCAACTTTATGATCTTCATATGGCCTCTGTACTGTTTCTTCTGCTGGAGAACTTTGGGTTCCCAAGTTCCCTCCTTGTTGTCCCAACTGGGCTCTTGTTTTGGTGCCTTTTTGTTCCCAGGCTGGTTTTTCTGCCTCCCTGGGAATCTCCTTATCCTGTCCCTCCCCCTTTGTGGGACTGCTGGTCTCTTCTGATGTTGTCATTGCCTTGTTTGGCTCAAGTTGGGCCCCATTGTCTCCTGCTGCTTGTACATCCTGGGCCACTTCCTGGATCTGTTCATCTCCTTCCAGGTGTTGGTTCTCAGAGTCATTGTGCTCTGATGCTTCTCTTGGCAGGTTATGAGTCTTGAAGTCTTCCTGTGGGTCCACCCTATTGTGTTCAACCCGTTTCTTTTCTTCAGGGTTGAGCTGAGATGATTGTGCCATTCCTGAAGGAAGCACCACTTTATCTTGAGTAGGTGGAGTTTCCTCTGTTAGCTGAACGTTTCTGATGGTTGCCTGAGGATCCACATCATCTGGGTTTTTCCTCTCTGGTTTAGATACCTGTCTTGGCTCTGAATTTAATGATTGTATGTCAAGATAACAGTGGTTCAACAAGTTACAGGTTGCAAGGACAAATTCATCAAAACTGATGGTGCCGTCACTGCCAATATCCAGAAGGTTCACGTTTTTCTCCATAGCATGAATGACATGTGGCTGCATGAAAACATAGTGAGAAATCAGAGTATTCGTGTGTGGTAAAGTCTCTTGAGTGTCTGCATATCTCCCAAGAATCCTTTCCTTGACCTCATTCCTTATTGATTGGTGAAATTTCCTATAATGGTAAGAGTTTATTGGCTCTAATGCTGTTTTTCCTAAGATAGTGTATTGAGTTGAATAGTTTACCCCAAAACTTTCATATCCACCTGGAACCTCAGAATATGACCTTACTTGGAAATAGGGTTTTGGGAGATGTAACTATTTAAGTTGAGGTCAAACTGGATTTGGGTGGATGCTAGATCTAGAAATTGGAGTGGTACAGCTACAAGCCAAGGAATGCCAAAGATTGCTGTCAACTGCCAGAAGGGGCAAGGAAGGATTCGTCCCTAGAGCCTTCAGGAAGAGCATGGCCCCGCTGACGCCTTCATTTCAAACTTCTAGCCTCCAGAACTGTGAAAGAATGTATTTCTGTTGTTTTCAGCCACCCAGTTTGTGGTAATTTGTTACTGCAACCCTAGGAGACTACTACAGAGAGCTTTGCCCACGAAGGAGCGTTTATACCACTTGTGAGTTGTGTTTAGATGCATAATGGCTCATGACTCCTCTAAGAAGTCTACTCTGCTGGAGTCCCAGTGAGGAAGACCTCATTTTCTCTCTTAGATTGACTAAGAAACTGTGCAGAGTGAGAAACTGAGACTGAAAAAAGGTGTTCGAAAGTCAGCAAGTGCTGAGAGCTGGTAACCAAGTATGAGATGGGTAGAGCTCACTTTTGCCCATTGTACTTGAATTCTGGAGAAAGGGCAAGTGGGGAAGGGTTTCTGCAGCTCCACGAGCACCTCACCTGAAGGATGTCCCCAAACTCGCCCTGGAGGAGTTGTTTCAGCTCTCTGCAGGTCAGTGTCACCCCGTTGCCATCCTCCCTGGCATACTTGTGGAATGTCTCGATTACACAGAGGACACTTCTCAGGAGCCGAGGCATCTTTAGAAACTCAAGATCCTTCTTTCTGTCCCTTTCCCAGCTCCACTCCCATCACCTGCTCTATTTAGTATCTTAAAATATTGTATCAGAACTCCAGATTCACTCTTGCATCAGACGTTGCAGGAAGAGCAGATCTAGCACACGTATGTATTAGAAAAGACACTTCACCTTGTGAAAAAACAGTGAAGCTCATGTGTTCAGAGAAATCTTTATTACAAAGGACGGTGACAAAAGAACTCAAGAATAAGAACTGAAATGCACACATGAAGCCAACAGATGGGGCCATCTGAGAGTGTCCACCTGCTTTCCTCCCACTTGGCTCAGTCTATCTTCCTATGCTAAGGAGAGTATAACTTTTAAAGTTGTTGGTAGAGCTTCTTCCCATTGCCATCAAGTCGATTCAGCTCATAGCTGATTCAGACTCATAGCGACCCTATAGGACAGAGTAGAATTGCCCCATATGGTTTCCAAGGAGTGGCTGGTGGATTCGAACTACTGATTTTTTGGTTAGCAGCCTGAGCTCTTAACCACTGTGCAACCAGGGCTCCCAGTAAAACTTCTAGAGGAAAGAAAAGTAATCCCACAAAAGCGACACTATGTGTGCAGGCAGAAGCAACACGTTTTACTAAGAAGACATGGCTCAGTCAACTCCCTGATCAAACAAATAGAGTCCTGACCCCTCAGTCTTTACCTATCATTTAAGTGGCTCTGTATTTTCCTTTTAATATAGGTCTGAGCCCCATGTCTTGTTAAATAGTATTTATGTCTATGTCATTCAAAGGATTTATATATTTTTTTAAAAAATGTCCAAAGAAGTTTCGTAACCAAGGAACGCATTTGGGGGGCTGGAGTTCCCAGTTTAGTATCATTAATTAGGGTAAACCTAGACTATAGTGTGTTTCCTCCAGAATCCTTCTCCAGTATCACATGGAAGCCAAAAGCAGCAGCTGAGATGGTAAGTGTGCTCAATCAGAGGTCTATGAGACTTACCTTGTTCAGGAGTGAGAGCAAGTGGGATGTGGGGCGCTGGGCTGGGAGCTGACAGCTGGCTCTGAAACCTTTTATTGAGCCCCTAATTGCATATGTTAGGAAGGAGACACCCCTTGGGGCTAATGACCTGATTCATCACCACCAAGCCCAGTCTCCCGCCTTCTCTGCTCTCAGGCTGTCTTATTTTTATTCCTTCTTTAGGTAGCTTCAGTTAAGTCTTGGCTTCAGACTCCATCCAGAGGAAAGAGAAGGGGGATCTTGTCACATGTAATGACTTTTGCAGATTATAGTTTTGAGGGATTTTCAGGGCAGTGTTGACTTTTTTTTTTTTTTTAAACCTAAAGACACAATTACATTTCTGTTTGACAAATCACAGGGTTGGCAGGCAACTCAGAAGTCATCTGATTCCTCTCTCTGCCTGTAGGGTGGACTGTACTTGACCTGGCCCTGATATATGAGTGTTAGTCATGTGTTTAAAAATACGGAGCCCATTTAGCCATGTGACAAAAGTGGAGATACTAGTTGATTCAGGTGTTTCAGTGTTCTGCTCTCCTCGTCCAGGGGCAGAATGGCAAAAAAAAATTTTCTTGCAGGGTGTGCAGAGTCTTGCTTACCTAAGATGTGCTATTTCTAAAATGTAATTTCAATCTGCTTTCTAAAGGCACTTTTATAGTCTGAGAATCTTATAAACAAGCATCCGTATTACCGTATTCTCTCGGTAAAGGGAAAACGAAGACATGGGGACAATCAAGCTGAAGAGAGGTAGGAGTGAGTCTGACATGCTAAACTGGCAGATTTTTTTTTTTTAAATCTTTTAATTTTGGTGAAAGTACACACAGCCAAAGATACACCATTTCAACAATTTCTACATGTACAATTCAGTGACATTGATTACATTCTTCAAGTTGTGCTACCATTCTCGCTATCCTTTTCCACATTATTCCACCACCATTATCTTAAACTCATTGCCCCCTAAGCTTCCCATCCAACCTTTTGAGTTGCCATAATCAGTTTAATCTCACATAGATAATTCTTTAAAAGAGCACAATGCTCAAGGCAGACATTCTTTACTAGTCAAGCTAAACTACTGTTTGGTTTTAAGAAGACTTCAGGGGATATTTTGGGTTTAAGGTTTAACAATTATCTCAGGGCTATAGTTTCAGGGGTTCATCCAGCCTCCATAGCTCCAGAAAATCTGGATTCCGTGAGAATTTGAAATTCTGGTCTCCATTTTCTCCCTTTAGATCAGGATTCTTCTATAGAAGTTTTGATCAAAACGTTCAGTAATGGTAGCCGGTCACCATCCTGTTCTTCTGGTCTCATGTCAAAGGAGGCTGTTGTTCATGGAGGCAACCAGACATATCCTCCTCTGATTCCTGACTCTTCTTCTTCCTCTTTTGCTTCAGCTGAATGGAGACCAATTGTTGTACCTTGGATGGTCGCAATGATCTAGGAGGTAGAACAAAAGTGCTGAGAAACAGTATGAAGCTAGCTGATTGGGATGTCCTTTGAAACCATGACCCTAAACCTCCAAACCAAGGAAACAAATTTTACGAGGTATTTAGTTGTGCAGAAGCAACCTGAAGAGCTGCCTTTTTTTTTTTTTTTGGTAAAAATATATATAACACAATATGTAAACTGATGAAATATTTTTAACCTTTCTATTTCTTTTTTTTCCCTGTGCTTTAGGTGAAAGTTTACAGCTAAAATTAGTTTCTCATTCAAAAATTTATACTCATATTGTTTTGTGACAATGTGGCAGTACTCTCCCCCTTTCCACCCGAGGTTCCCTGGGTCCATTTGTCCAGTTTTCCTGTCCCTTCCTGCCTTCTCATCTTGCTTTTGGACAGGAGTTGCCCATTTGGTCTTGTATATTTGATTGAACTAAGAAGCACATTCCTCACGTGTGTTGTTGTTTGTTTTATAGGTCTATCCGGTCTTTGTCTGAAAAGTGGGCTTTGGGAATGGTTTCAGTTCTGAGTAAGCAGAGTATCCAAGGGCCGTAGCCTCGGGGGTTACTCTAATCTTAGACCAGTAAGTCTAGTCTTTTTTTGTGAATTTGAGTTTTGTTCTACATTTTTATCCTACTTTATCTGGAACTCTGTTGTGATCCCTGTTAGAGTGGGCGGTGGTGGTAGCTGGGCACCATCTAGTTCTTCTGGGCTGAGACTCGTGAAGACTCTGGTTCATGTTGTCCTTTAGTCCTCTGAGTTAATATTTTCCTTGTGTCTCTGGTTTTCTCCATTCTCCTTTGCTCCAAATGGGATGGGGCCAACAGATGTATTTTAGATGGTTGCTCACAAGCTTTTAAGACCCCAGATGCTACTCACCAAAGTGGGATGTGGAACATTTACTTTGTGAACTAGATGTCCCCCAAGATCATGGTCCCCAGCCCTCAGCCCCAGCAACTTGGTTTGTCAACGTGTTTGGATGTGTCAAGGAAACTTCTATGCCTTTGCCTTTGTCAAGTTGTGCTGACTTTTCCTGTATTGTGTGTTGTCCTTCCCTTCACCGAAGTTGACCCTTGCCTACTATCTAATTAGTGGCTTCCCCTCCTCCTCCGTCTCCACACTCATAACCATCAAAGAATGTTTTTTTCTGTTTGTAAACCTTTTCTTGAGTTCTTATAATAGTGGTCTCATACAAAATGTGGCCTTTTGTGATTGATTTATTTCACTTGGCATAATGCCCTCCAGATTCATCCATGTTGTAAAAAGTTTAGAAGATTCATTGTTGTTCTTTATCGTAGTGTAGTATTCCATTGTGTGTATGTACCATACTTTGTTTATCCATTCATCTGTTGATAGGCATTTAGGTTGCTATTGTGAATAATGCTGCAATGAACATAGGTGTGCATATGTCGATTTGTGTGACGGTTCTTGTTTCTCTAGGGTATATTCCTAGGAATGGGATTGGTGGATCATATGGTATTTCTATTTCTAGCTTTTTAAGGAAGCTCCATATCATTTTCCAAAGTGGTTGTACCATTTTACATTCCCACCAGCAGTGCGTAAGATTTCCAGTCTCCCCACAACCTCTCCAACATTTGTTATTTTCTAGTTTTTTTTTTTTAATTAGTGCCAGTGTTGTCAGGGTGACATGGTATCTCATTTTAGTTTTGATTTGCATTTTTCTAATGGCTAATGATCATGAGCATTTTCTCATGTGTCTGTTAGCCATCTGAATGTCTTATTTGGTGAAGCGTCTTAAACTGGCAAATGTTTTGACTAGCTCCTGGATATGGGTTCCTCTTAGTAGAGAATATTTAATTAGCAGGAGAATTAAATTTGGTTGATGTCTTAGATATTTAAAAATACAATTTTTTAAAAAAAACTACTTTGCCTGCTTTTAAAATGATGTAAGAAATAGAAAACAATAGATTCATGAAAACAAGCGTGAAAGACAAAGAGCTAGGTAAAGAAGGGGTGGGGAAGGGGGTAATTACATGAGAAAACCTAGCATTGCTTTTGAGCAAAAACCTTGTTCTGTGCTTCCTGATAATCAAGGCTAGTACAAGAACTGAATGTTGTGAGGGGAGGACCCACATTGATAATTTCCACCTATAAACAATTTCTCAGCATTCTCCCAAAAAAGAGAACATTCCTTCTGAGAACTGGGATTGGTACGTGAAGGTCATCTTAATTCTGATCAGTCAACATCCCTTGAGCAGCAACTATCTTTCACACAATGTGCCAGGCACTGGAGTGTGTGAAGTTAAGATCCACCCCTGCCCTGGAGCTTACGGACCAGTCTCATGAGAAATGGTTGAAAGGAACTGGGTATGTTCAAGGCTGGAAAGAGGAAGACTTAGGGGAAGGCATATTAGCTGTATTCAAATATTTGAAGGGTTGTTATGAGGAAGAGGAATGGTGTGGGGAAGAGAAAAGAACTAATGTTCACTGAACACTTGCGACATGTCAGGAGCCTTACAGTGGTTACCTTACTTAATTCGCACCGTTGTTTTAGGTGGTTATTATCCTTCTTTAACAGGTAAGGAAGTTGAGGCTCTT